CATCGGACAGAAAGGACACCCAGGTGAAAGAGGAGGCGTTGGATTACCAGGGCCCAAAGGAAGCACAGGTGATACCGGAAGACCTGGACCTCAAGGTTTGCAAGGTCAAAGAGGTTTAGTCGGAAGGCCTGGTATGACTGGAAAATCTGGGCCACCTGGAGAAAGAGGAATTCCCGGTGCCGATGGAAGGCCTGGAGAACAAGGATTGCAAGGTTTACAAGGTCCACCTGGAATGATGGGTAGTCCAGGGGAAAGAGGTTTACAGGTACATATAATTTGTCCATATAATAATATCTATACTGGTCTTGAAAATAATTCGTATACGTATAAATTGTTAATTTTAGGGCGAATCCGGAAAAGACGGTGAACCGGGCCAACAAGGACAGCAAGGACCAAAAGGCGATTCTGGTCGAGATGGTAGTCCAGGAATTCAAGGGCCACAAGGTGCGAGTGGACCGACCGGGGAAAGGGGAGCTCAGGGTCCACCTGGCCCAACTGGCTTTCCGGTAAATTTAATATAATAAATATTTTTAAATAGGTTGTTCAAGGTTAAACTTCTGGATATTAATCATTTAGAATTACGTATAAAATCTCCAATACTCGTGTTGTTTCTTTCAGGGAATGCCAGGAGCTGCTGGCTTACCCGGATCTCCAGGAAAGAAAGGCGAACCCGGTATCGCTGGACCAGCTGGACCGCCAGGCGCGACGGGACCTCGAGGGGAAAGAGGGTTCACTGGAGAACGGGGACTCTCCGGCCAGCCCGGCACACCTGGAGAAAAGGGAGAGTCAGGGGCACAAGGAGCAGACGGCCCACCGGTAAGTTTGCTATTATTATTACTAAACACGTCTTATCAATCGTCCTGATTATGTTTCTAAGAAATGACCTTCAAACATCTTACAAACAATTCTAGTTAAGCGCTATAAATATCTTCTTCCACGTAATGAATTCACAAGCACGATCTACAGCGACTTTTATAATTAATTATTCGCTTTGTGCGTATTTTGTAATATTTTACTCAAAATTGATGAACTTAAATAGCTTAACATAAATCTTACAATATTAGTGCGCAATCTCTGCTGACAATGTACTTAACTATCAATTGGTGTTTTAATAAACTCTTTGTTCATTTGTTGTTGTTTCTCCAAAAATACTCAAATACTCAAAAGAGATGTTTAATCAATTTTCTCAGGGACCAGAGGGACTTAAAGGTAGCAAAGGCCATCCAGGTCAGCTCGGTGCAATGGGACTTCCTGGACCGCGCGGTATGACTGGTCTACCTGGGGAGAAGGGCGAAAGAGGCGCGGTTGGACCACAAGGCAATGATGGACCACCAGGTAGGTAAATTAAAAATAAAAATTGGCAAACTAGATATAAAAATGTCTTTAACCTTATGCTCTGCTATTATTTCAGGACGTCAAGGGGAGCAAGGCCCTCAAGGGCCTGTCGGTCCACAAGGGCATCCGGGTGAACCAGCTGAAAGAGGTGAACCGGGTACACCAGGTGTACCTGGAGAGTCTGGTGCACCAGGATCGCAGGGCGAAAGGGGTCAGCCGGGATTACAAGGATCTCCCGGTCTTCCTGGACCTCCTGGTC